CTGACTCAGAGGTATTTTACCCAGTCTTTGCACTGGAGCAAGTGACTACCAAAAGTATTTGGCAATAAAGGAAGAAGAGTTGTCTATTATTAGAGTAGGTGATGGAATTATTTCGTAGCAGGGTGCCAGTAGAATTCAAGGTGAGATTGATTACTAGATAAACTTTATAATTTGATGAGAAACTGAATTTTAAAATGCCCGGGACTAGTACACCGCTTATTTTAAATGTTTCTTCTACATTATTATTCTCGTGAAAAATAAGGCTAAATTCTCTAAAAAGGGAACTATGGTGCCTGCACCTCTCTTGTCTATTTCCTGCTGCTTTATGATTGTATAAATGGCAACACTTAGAATAGCATCTTAAAAAGTGAAAAGAGTGTATATTAGTATCAGGAACATGCACATTTTCATTTCAAATTCAAAGGACCTAATTAAAGGATTCAAGACAACAAATGCTTTCATCTTCTATGTTGCCTGAATTTCATGCTTATATTGTGAAAGTATTATGTGTATTAATTGCTAGGTAGCAATATGAAAAGCATTGCTTCCTCTGTCCCATCAGTCTTGCACATCAAATGTTCTTTAAAAGCCAAGCCCTCTTTTGGGCTAAACAAGGCAGTCTGTCACAGAATAAAGTGTACTGCTTAGTCCTTCCGTGGCTGCTGGGGAGCACTTGCTTCAGATACAGCTGTAGCCTGCCTCCATTCCTCTGAGCATCTCATAAAACCTGCAGGCGGGCACAGAGTAAAAAATATACACAAAACAGCTGACACACCAGAAAGCCCTTCAGTAATATGGTAGAGTAGAATTTCTATTGGTTTCCAGTTCTGATTTCAGTTGTGTTTCTTTTTTGCTTCTTTTGAGTGGGCTAACATCTCTAGAGATAGTCATGACTTCAGTCTGAGCTGTGTCGTAGGTGTTTCCAGACTCAGTCACGAGGGTCCTTTACTCCTGCACCAGATAGGCAACACTCTAACTACATCAGGCATTAAAGCAGATTCAGATTGTCTCTAAGGAATCGATAAATAAATCGCAGTGCATATGTTTGGGGTCATGTTCCTTGGAAACTGACAAACTCCAATCATTTACAATTCAAAAAAGAAACTGCATGTCAGAGGAATGCCCCTTTTAAAGACATGTGGTCATTTTACGACAGTTAATAGTTACATCAAAGTATTTTGAGATTTGATGTGCAAAAATGGCATCTCATGGTAGGAAATTCAAATTAGAGGAAAGAAAATGTGAATTCCATCTCCCCTACCAATGGAAGGTAAACTGTCTCCCCCCTTCTAAATACCAACCTAATGCAGAAAAGCTCCCTTCACTTCCCCCAAGGAAAACTCCAGGCCCAAACAAAGATACTCTTGGTGCTTCTTTGAAATATAGAGTGTACAGAAAACTGTCAAACGTGTAATTATTAATTATAATTTAAACTTGCTAAAATCCCAGTGCTGGGGGATTCCTCAATACCAAATCCTAGGTACTGCACTCAGTATAGGAGCACTTTGGGCATCTCTGGCTCTTGGCCTGCCAGGCCCATTCCTGTGAGCCTGCAAGGGGTGGAACATGACACTGTGAGACACTGGGATCATAGAATCATTGAGGTTGAAAGGGACCTCTGGAGATCATCTAGTCCAACACCCCTGCTCAGGTAGGGTCACCTAGAGCAGATTGCCCAGCACTGTGTCCAGACGGCTTTTGAATATCCACAAGGATGGAGACTCCACAACCTCCCTGGACAACCTATTGCAGTGCTCTGTCACCCTTACATAAAAAAGTGTTTTCCTATATAGACAGAACTTCCTGTACTTCAGTTTGTGCCTGTTACCTTTCGCCCTACCTCTGGGTACCAATGAGAGGAGTCTGGCAATGTCTCCTTTATACCCTCCCTCTAAATATTTATACACATTGATAAGATCCCCCCAAAACCTTCTCTTCTTGAGGCTGAATAGTCCCAGCTCTCTCAGCCTTTCCTCATATAAGGGATGCATCCAGTCCCTTAATCATCTTTGGGGCCTGTTGCTGGACTTACTGCAGTAGGTACTTGTCTCTCTTGTATTGGGGAGCCCAGAATTGGACCCAGCACTCCAGGTGTGGTCACAGCAGAGCTGAGTAGAGGGGAGGGACCACCTACCTCAATCTTGATATAGTATCTTCAGTGAAACATCTGTCAGAGTTCAACACTTTGTGACCAGGTTCTTTTAGATAGTTCACTCATGGAGGGTGTAACATTTAACGATCAATTCACTTACTTGAAGTTATTTGACATCATTACACAGGATTTTTGATTTAGCAGAGTGATACAGCCATATACTGAGATCACAACACAAGTGTAATTTACACTTAGCAAAGTATAGCAATTGCAATATACAGTTCAAGCACAACACAAGTGTGATCCCCATGACCAGTCTCTGTAATATGCTCACCGTCACAATTCTGGGTGTCCCCAGCTGCCAGGAAGGAGTACATGGGTTGAAGCCAGCTCAAGCCTGCTGCTTTTTTTTGAAATTCTTTTGTTAGTCGTTCAGTTTTTATGTTCTATGTTGGGCTGAGCCACATGTACCCTCCACCCATGCTGATTTGGCTAACTCAGGGAGACATTCACACTCTTTTAATGAGCTCAGGGAGAAACATTTACACAAGCAGTTGATCACTCAGCTGTGATACAGTCAGTTGAACCACTCAACTGACACAGCCATTTATCTAAAGCAAAGACCATCCTCCAGTCCCCCATGTGTTGGTATAGATTCAACTTTCCTTGCAACAGCTGTAGTCAGTTGCTGCCTACATTCTTCCCTGGGCTTCACAGGTGCATGGCCTTAGCCTGTCTCCTCTGAGCCTTCTTCCATTGTCGGGGTTTATTGGTCGGTCACAACCTCTAATGCTGGTTTTCTGCCTGTGTTTGTGCTGATTATGTGCAAGGTTGTATGGTCAACTTTTGCCCTAAGTTGCACTGTATTTATAAAGGTTATCAGAGAGTGAAATTATGTTCTAACTGATATATTTAAGTACTCTTAAGTTATGTAAGTTCCTTAAATTTAAAACTTGACTTAAAACTTAGAACATTGATATGGTTTGCATGTAGACATATAATGGTTATGTGTATAGTATTTTTATAAATTATGACTTTACAGGGTTTTCCTATGCTCTTTTTCAGCTGTTCCACTGTTTTTTGAAGGATTTATTTTCTTGTTGCTATGTACTGCAATTCATTTCATGAAGGATCATTTTATCCTTTTTAAACCAGGCTCCCCTTCAAGGAAGTAAGCTGCTCCACCCCAAACCAAATGCCAGATTCTGCTTCAAGACTAAATAATTACTGGCTTTTACACTACTAACGTTAGACAGCCTAAAAAGAGAACAATGAGGCTGTAAGTCATCCTAGGAACTTGCACAGCCATTAACAATTCATCTGCACTGCTAATGCTTACACAGGCTTTACCATGTGCCCCTGTTGTAGAAAACAGTAAATATCATTGGATGCTTTGAATAAAAATACAGCAAGAATAAGCATAGATTTTAAAATGTAATGAAAATAAACTGTAATCTATAAAGGAGAAGCAAGTTACAAAATCAATAAAATCTCAACTATTGATTGACTATATAAATTGAACAGGTTAGTAACTAATTGGTTGCCTTGCTCAAGCAGTTTATTTAGCATGGTTTTAAAGTGAGCATGAGAGTCACTGACTTACAATATCAGAGGTCATCTGTACCATGACCACCAAGCTTGGTAATTAGATGTCATACAGGTTAATTGCAGAGACAATCGGGAGATGGAGTTAAAAGGATCGAAAGGAATCAGTTGAAAAGTATTGTATTAATCCATCTAAGGAAAAGGAAAATCATTATAAAGGAAGCTTTATAAATGTACAATAATTGCAAAATCAGTTTTGGTTAAAGCCTTATTCTAAGGTTAGAATAATACAATAGGCTGTTTGAATTGTAGAAGAGTGGGTTTGAGGCCAGTGGAAACTGTCATGAAATAAAGCTGAAGGTGATTCCAATCCATACCTGGGAATTTTTTTGTTCTTTTGGTTTAACCTGTAGCCATGACAAAACCCCTTTTCTGAAGATGCCGTACTGATTGCTTTCCAGTGTAAAAGGTTAATGTATACGTTCAGCCCAACACATCAATTTGTCTCCGTGGATAATTTTTATCACAGCACAGAGGGAGAGTAGACCCAACTTAATGATCATTCCTCATATGGTTTATAATCTTTGTAACTTACTGCTACATAGAACTCACTTCAGCAGAGCACTCAGACTCGTGCTAAAGTGCTGTGCTGAATGCGAATCATAATACATCAAGCAGCATGTGCATCTGAAAAAAATAGTAACAGTACTGCTATAAAAGATATAATGCCATATTATACTATTCACTTCTTCAGGAAAGGATGGCAGGAAGCAAACCAGACATGCAGATGCTATTCATGTTGCTGCATGAATTGCTCTGCTCCTCTGATGAGAAGGGTGACCATGAAGTTCTAAGTGGAACAGTAATATAGGGTAATATATATAAGTGTTGCAGTCTGTGAAGAAAAAGCTCTTCCATGAAGATATAAACAGGAAAGAAGACTAACAAATAGGTGCCATAGGTAATTTGTGTACAGTGATTCAATATCTACTTGTTTAGGCACACAAGATAATGGTTTGGTTATGAAAAAATAATTTTATTATGCTGCTTTGAATGTTTCCATGCCTTACTTTCTCCTGTGGCATTCTGCTGCTGTTTCAGATACAACCAGAAGATACTAATTTAAGTTTTAGAAGAGAATGAGGAGGAAATCACCAGTATGAATGGTTTTATTCTGATGTCTAAATTCTAGATTCAAAACTGAAGTTGTTGTTGCTTTTCTGTTCTCCATAAGTGTTGAAAACTAAGCCTTTTGCTTTAACACCATAAGTGTATTGAAAATTTCTGATTGTGCTACTAAATTCATCTTGTCCTCCCTTCTGTTGTTTCTGTTTATGATTTTATTTTTTTATTTTGTTTACAGGCTTATTTCCCGCAGTACTGAACCTGGCTACTAATGCTCTCATCACAACCAATGCTACCTGTGGAGAAAAGGGCCGGGAAATGTACTGTAAACTTGTTGAACATGTTCCTGGACAGCCTGCAAGGAACCCTCAGTGCCGTATTTGTGATCAAAGGAGTAGAGTTCCACATCGTATGTTTGCCATTTTCGTTTTATTCCTATTTTTCTAAGTTTAAGACAGTCAGGGGTTTTAACACCAACTAACTGGTGGTGGAGGAGAGATTAAAAAACAGAACAAAGCTGTAGATCATATGAAACATCTGTCTTGCTCTTTTAAAATTAAGTTACCCATCTCTTTCATTACTTTTTCAAAATCTGTTATCTGTTGAGTATACGCCTCAAACTGAAGCTTCTAATTTGGATACTTAAAGTGGAGCAACTAAATTCAGATTTAGGAGAGCAAAGTATCTACAGCTGTTGTTGATATGTTGATTCTCTTGATATAGGGTCACCATGAATTAAAAGCGGATTACTTTTACGTTCATACATACATGGGGAACTTTAACGTTTTGGCTGCTCTAAGTAACATCTGAAATTTCAGTTCAGAGCTAACTCCAGTTTTACTTTATTATATTCTGAGATCGTTTTCTTTTTAGTTTGATGTTAATTCAGTTTCACGGAGTCAGCAAAAATAGATAAGATAATGGAACGCCACACAGTTTAATAGCTTATTCTTTTCTGCTAAAACTGGCCTTTGCTAACTGCTTTTTTAAAGACTAGCCACAAGCAAAATCAGTTTTCACATATGAATTTGTTATCCTCAGGTTCAGAATGTATGGTTCTAACCTGTTACGAATAGTAAGAAAGATTAGAAGTCAGAAATGATCACGCAAGTATGACCTTTCAGTGAAAGATGTAAATAGCATTAGCTATGCCCTTTTGTGTGTGTGTGTGGGTACGCTGGCTTTGCAAATGGTAGAGTAGTGGAGAGACACTTGATGCAGCTTTTACTTGAAGATATGCAGTACTGGAAGCAGCTTAGACTCAGAATTGTGGAGTTTCATGAAGACAATTTCTTATTTTTCAGTTGTTCCCCTGTAAAATCTATCTCAGATATATTTATGCTCCACTAGTGCATGTGCTTAAAGCCACAGAAAAAAAGAAGACATCTAATCTATCCGCTAGCTCCAGAGAGGATGAGCTAGCTATGACTATATCTTTCCAGACAGGCCATCTGTCCTAGAGTTATTCTTCTCATTACAAAACTTCCCCCTGCCCAATAGTTAATCTATCTGCATCTTCCTTACTGAAATTCAAATATGTCATCTTTTGCTCTAACCTCAGTCAGTACAAGGAATAGATTATTCCCATTCTCTTTACAAAGATCTTTTACTTAGTTGAGAGCTGTTACTAGTGCTCTGCCTCATTTCTACCCTGAGCTATCCCAGTTCTTTCCTTCTTCCCACAGGTTGTGTTTTCTAGGTCTCTTAATTATGCAAATTGCATTTCTACGATTTCTCTGTAGAGGTTTTAATCATTATTAAAGATCACCTGAGCTCTTAACAGCACTGAATAGAGATGAAGGTTTGCTTCAGAATGGACAGATTATATTCCTGTTTATACATTCTGCTTAGATATTTCCCTTCCTTAATGGTGTGGCGCTATTTAGAGACATTTAGCCACTGCTCCATTATAATCCCCAGATGCTTTTATGCCAAATGCCTATTTATCCAGTTGTTCTCCATCCTGAATTTGGACAGCTAATTATAATTGCCTGAGTACAGACTACTTCATTTGTCTGAACTCTGCTGGAACCAGTTTTTCTCCCAAGACAGTTTTCCAGATTTTAATGTCTTCTTTAATTATAGTAACCACTGCCTTCTGAGAAAAGGTCATATGATTTTATATTAAGTGAGAATATAAGCATTCAAATGATATGTTATATTATAGTAGTAGCTCTCATTCAGAGAAGCTTTCAGGGCTTTTCAGAAACATTTAGACCGGCAGAAAGACTGTACAATAGATTCTGTCCTTTCTTTATAGATGGGTGTTTAGAGGTACATGCAAGTTTTTTTCTGTCATATTTATTTAATTCACAAAGCAAATCTGAAACAGAGCTGAATTGCTTTGTCCCTATGTCCTGCCTATAATACTAGATAGCATGGACTCATTTATTTATATATATATATATATGTGTGTGTGTGTGTGTGTATGTGTGTATATATATATATATATATGTATGTGTGTGTGTGTGTGTATATATATATATATATATATGTATATGTATATGTCTATGGAAAACCCACTTCAATACTTTGTATCTGTGTTTCCCCCCACTCCTGTCCTCATATAAAATTGAATCTGCCTGGCTTCAGAATGCCTGGTCTTTCGTTGCCAACCACATCTCATTTTAAGGTTTTGAAATGTTCATTTGGCAGAAGGAAGTGCTTTATTTAAACAGAGATGGCTCATTAATAAGAGAGCCATGTAATGTAACCAGACTTTAAATGATCCCCCTGGAACGTGCAAGTCTGGTGTTCCGCCCCTTAATTACTGTAGTAGGAAATGAACACAAATTCCCTGGTTAATCACATGTGAGCCCAAATTAAAGAGTACAATTTGATGGGCTCGCTCTGTAAGTTCTCCCCCTTATCATCCATCAGTGAGACTGGTCCTGGAACTGCATTTGCAATCCAGTTCTTCTTGCAAATGTTATATTATTTTCTTTTCCTTTTTAAATAGGGAAAACATGCCAGCAATTAATCAGTATTTTCAAATTAATTATGATTAAACTTTCATAATGGTAATAACAGTTAATTGTTAATTGTTAATTCATCTCCCAACCTGCCTTCTCATGACATGCCTTTATATCAATTTCATCTGCAGAGACTTACATCAAAATTTCCAATTAGACAGCTTCTGTCACAATCACGGAGAAGCTCTGCATTTGATTTTCAGGTGACTTTTGCTAGCACTCATTCAAAGCAAAGGTTTTTAAAGATGATCAGAGCTGTGAGTGAAGTGTACTCATTCACGTAAAGTGTAGGTATTTTCTTTTCTGTAAAAAGATAATGCCACTAATACCACTTATACCACCAGTATTCTACTTGTAAATGTTGGTGCCCACTAATGCCACTGCATAATCTGATATTTAAATACATTTTTTGACATTTTCAATTTTGAGGGTTGATGCCTTCCTTCCCTCCCACAAGCACTTTAATTGTATCTTTAAATATGTTCAGACATTCTGGCTTTCCTTAATGAGCTAGGACTCCTGTGCTCCACAGGTGGCTGGTGTAATAAGTAACAGACACAAAGACTATCAATCTGGCAGGTTGATTTAAACGATAATCAGAATAACAAGTAAATTAATGAGTTCATGAATTAATTTTTTGGAACTGTAAGACTAGCTAGTAGTAAGGCATATTTCAGTTTTAGATAAAGAAAACCTATCATTTTAGGAAGCCATTCTTAATAAGAAGGGTAGGGTTTCTCCTGCCTTTTTATGTTCTCTTACGCTCTTGCAAACAGAACCTGGGTCAAAGAAGCTTATTATATTTGAATTAACTTTTGATTATTTTCCCCATAATATACAGTCTTGCTCTAGGCAATTATGGACTTCAAAATATATAAGACTAGATCCTTTGTATCCTTTAAAATTGAGATTATGGTATTGTCCAGTTTATACAGGAGAAAAACATGAATTGGTCACAAAAAAAGACCTAGAGATTTGACTAAATGCAGTCTAAGTAACATAAAAAAATACTCTGTAAGCAAATTACGGTATTTCAGGAGATCTTGAAATCCATGAAGAATTTCATGCTGTAGATACGTTTCTCTCCTATTACTCTGGATTTATTAGGGACATTGACACAGAGTAAACATGGACATGAAAAAAAGCGCATCTTGGACGTTGAGCTGATGGTTTATTCCCAAGAGAACTATCTTTGTATGCATGCATCTGAGTCAGATTATTTTCTAATTGAGAAATACATTCTGGAGTGATTTCTGCATTATTTTCCTGTGTGCTTAGAAATGGCTTAGAAATTCAAGTACTAGTATTACTGTAATTCTGGTTTCCCTGCAAGTCAGATCTCAGGTTCCTGATTTGTTGTTTGCATTGCAAATTTACGGTACTTCAAATTTTTGTTTGGAAGATCACAGGAAGTGTCCATACCATTTGATTTAGATGCCTACAGTTTCTATATATTTTCTATACAATCTCAAGTGTATTTAATTAGGTGCTCTGAATCACCTTTTGTATCCTAACTAAAATTAGACAGCTAACATTAGATGTACCTCAAGAGTAAAGGAAAAATAAATTTCCTGTTTTTTATGTTACCATGATTCCTCATTAGTTCTATAATTGTTTTTGAGTCTAGATTTTAGATCTAAAACAATTTAGATCTCCTAACAATTCTGAATTACATTTATTTTGTGTGTTTCTACTGCTCTAACAGAACGACATCCTATAACAAATGCAATTGATGGCAAGAACACTTGGTGGCAAAGCCCTAGCATCCAGAATGGAATTGAATATCATTACGTGACCATTACATTGGACCTCAAACAGGTAGACTTCTCCTATCTATTTGTTTCTGCAAAGGCTTTCTTTCTTATGCAATAGTTGATTTGCATTATTTTCCTCTACACTCTGTGTTGCTTTTGTATCATGAAGACACTCTCAGCTTCTTCTAAAACTTTTCATATGGATAATGCTGAGTGTGATCTATTCATTGTAACATAATGTACCAGATTAAAAATAGTTCACGTGCACACTTACGAAGTAATGTTTAAAATTATTTTAAATATAACATTTTCAGTTTTTTTTTCCATCATAGTTTCTAGCTTGGCTCTTTAAAACCAAATAAAAGATGGTTCAAAGGGAAAAATTAATGTTTACAATATTGTTCTTTACTGTTTCAATAACATACTACTGTACACTCCAACAGCATAATCTTTAGCTCTGCTAGGGATAGGTGCACATACAGTGGGTTTTTGAAGGAGAATCTGGGGAGTAAAGGGAAGAGTTTGGCTAACAAGGTCCTTAAATAAATTGCTTCTCATCACTGAAATCTCTGCTGGAGACCTGTAGTTTTACAGAATACAGTTATTTAACTCTTACAAAAATGCTAGAAAAATTCCAGGTGTGTAAGCAAGAGGAATTGAGGGCTGAAGAAAAATTATTTCTATTTTTATCATGCTAACATAAGTACAGAATAACTATCTGATGTCAAAGTTATTAATCGTGTTATTAAACTTGACCATCTTGGTATTCAGTTAACTAGATAATCAAGTAATCTTTGTCATTTTCCTCTTAAAATCATCTCTTGTCTATACTGGTCTTCAACTTGAATGAGGCAAAGGAGACATAATCTGTTCTTCTGGTGTGAAGAAAAAAGGGAAAGTCCCCTTTTCTGCCTCTTTAGAGAGGGAGTTCTCTTTCCACCTCCTCTTTCTTCTGTGATCAGTTCACTGAGATACTTTTATGTTTCAACATATTATTATTAGTTTACAGCTTTCTCCTGAAACCTGACTGCCCTTATCTTCCTTTCTTTCTTCTCATCTACCCTTCCTTGAAGAGGTCAATAGCTGATTATCACCTACAGAGACTTGAAAAAAACATAGCTTGTTAGAAAATAAAATGAAAATAAAGGCAGGACATGTAGGTGCCTGTGTATGCACATACAGACAAAAAAAATTGTTTATAAGAGGTCATAGTCTTAATTTTAGTCCAGAATTCAGAAGTTCAGTTATCAAAGAACATGGTGCTTGCACTTCTAGTTTTTGTCTTTTGTTTCTTGAAAACAAACCACCATCTAAATTATTTAATGATAAACATGCCTGTAAGTTCCTTTTATTGTTGGCCCTGAAGTACTGGGAGGGTACTTGACATGGTCTCTTACTCCTTTACACCTGGAAGAAGAGTATCTGAATCCTAGAAGAATTATTAGCATTCTGGCTTTGGAGCCCACATCGTCGTGATTCATGACAGAGTCATAAATGTGGGTGTTTGGCCTCATATCTGCCACAGTGTTCAATGCGTGTTTCTCTTTTAGTTAGTAGCGCTAAACCTTTTAAAGAAGGTTAATTTAAAATGTTCATTTGAACTTCCAGAATTATTAGCTGGTTTGCCAATACAACAAGGGATTGTGTCTCTTGTTGGCTATGGCTTATTAACATGTAGATAGCTCTCAGGCATTAGAACTAAATTAGCATCCTTGTTTTTCATTTCCCCAGAGGTTTTACTTGTGTAGTTGTTATAGGCCAGGTCCGCTAAACTAAAACATTACAATTTCTGTTTTTTCTGTTGTGTCGGTATCTAGATTGTCATAATAAATAACCAAATGTGTGTACTTCCTAAAGTTTGTTTTTTAAAAATAGCCTAAAAGCTAGCAACTACAGAGTTTGTGACTATATTGAAGAATAAGCAGAGATTGTTCAAATGTATATTTAAAAGACTTCGTGTGCCAGCTGACAGCAAATGGACAATACAGCACGAGGTGTTATGTGGGTTTGTTTTATTTTGGCTTTTTGTTTCTGTTTTTTTAAGTGAGGCAGGGCACAAGTTTGAGTATGTTTCTCTCCCATGTTGTCCTGCTTACTGTTCAAAGAAAGATTAGCAGTCCTTTCCACAGGACTAATGCTGATAATGGCCTCTGCCTAAGCCCATTAATTTGTACTGGCTGGGCTGTGAGAGTAGCCGGGTTGAGGCTACATTTATGTCTGAGAGGTGGGAAAAGGCTTTGTGTCACTAATGTTTTCTGGCACTTGGTTTATGATGTGAGTAGCCTATGTAGTTAGGTATGCACTTTTTGTTTACTCACCACCTTACAAGAAAGAAAGAACAGTTTTCTTCCCCAAAACGTGCTAACAAATATGTGGCAACTTGATTGGCTTCTAGAGTGTCCAGTATGTCTTGCCACTAAGAAATAGAGTTGTTTGGGTTTTGCGGAGTGTTAGAAATTTTGTGTTTGCTTGTTATGGTATTCTGTAAATACAGCACTGTAGGCTTTAATAAAGTAGTCAGTAAAACCTGAGATTGCTCCTCCAGCTAGAAGTATATAGTAGTGAATGGATGAAGGTCACAAGAAATCTTTGAGACCTCACTTAAAAACATTATTGTTCTTTACCTTTGGCTTATATGAGATTCAGTAATTGCTATGTTTGTGTTGATATAGTCTTGCTTCAGTACAAAAATGCTTAACTTCTTTTTGTTAGATGAAAATAACAAATGACAAATCTACAAGTAATGGAAAAAGGAATGCATTAGTGTGTGTGTTATTACTGATAATTATGACAGTACATGGAGTGCTTTTAGCATATCCTAATTTCATGAAAAAATCAGGAAAATAATTATAATTCCTTCATTTAATAATGCTTGACCTTTGGGGGCATTTACATATTTTTTTCTTTATTGTGCAGCATAGTCATAAAAATGCTGTACAGTAGTTAGCAATAAATGATGAACTGTTTCAATAAGTGAAATGCCTTTAACTTCAGGAGGAACGAACAGATTATTGTTCAGGTTGGGAAAAGGCAGAGATTTCTTTCACACACACATTTGAGATGTCATGTAATATTTTTAGGGAACTTTTATCTGCAATGGAGGCTAGGCTCCTAATTCACTAAGGTACCTTTGAAATTTGTACCCCATGAAGAAGTTATGAGTTAAAAGCTGGAACTATTGGGCTCTCAGCATCTTTGCTAATTTATGCTTTGCTCTTAACCCTTCAGTTTTTGAATTTGGCCATTTCTAAAATCATTGTCTTATCTCTTTCACAAGAATATTCTGCAATACTATCCATAGCTATACATCTGAAATTATTTTTTACAATGCTTTTCATCCAACAAGTGCGTAGGAGGTCCAAATATAAATGCATATTTATTTGGTAGAAGTTCCTCTTTGATGTGCATGGACTGCTCAGAGAAACTTAAATCCAGTTTAAAATTGAGAAGCTGAGCTGCCCTGGTTCCTGAAAGTGGAACTGCAGATCTGATTTCAACAGGGTAGGTCCATCAATGTGCTAGATCATTGCATCTGTGAAACGCTCACAGACTATAAAGAGAATAGGTCTGCTGTGTTCTGCATCTTTTGCTCCTGCTGGTTGTACAGGAACTGTGGGTTTGGCCTTAGGAAAGATGGGGTAATTCAAGTGCAACAGAAGTAGTTCAGGTCTAGAGCGCAGAGCGCAGTTTTTAGGAGGATAGGAAATAAGCCTTCTCTTATTTATAAGCTCCTTCTCTTCAAAGAGCTATGCTCTTTTGTTAAATACAGAGAAAGGATTTAGCAAGATGGAAATGCATGGACTTCGAGGGAGAACATATTCCCCATACTCATGCTATCCCAAATTCTCAAGTGGTTTAATGCTTTTACATTGTTGTGGAAGATCAGCAGAGTATCTTTAAAGAAAATTGGCAAATACACAGGAAAACCAGTTGGCAGTCTGAGGGGAGGTGGTCAGCCCATCTGTTCCTGATTTCTACACACATCAGGACACTTTTATTAACAAATTCCCTGCTGTTGCAGGAAACTAGGACGTTAGCAGTATCCTTGATACTGCAATGATATTTATGCTAGGATATTTATATGGTTTTTGGTTTTCTTACTAGGCACTTTATATTTTTTTAAAGGGCGCTAGAATATTTTATGTAACTTTTAGCATTTGTGGAGCTCAGGTGGAGCCTGAGTTGATGCTCTGGCAGTAACTTCTGGACTTAATATCTACAACTTAATTTCCAGAGACTGTGGAAGATCCGTTTAGTGTCCAAGTAATCCTTTCCAGCCGTATATTTCTAAAGAGGATAGATCTTTCTAAAGAAGCTAAAAGTCCTCAGAACCTCATAAGGTTTGGTTCAAGAGTAAGAATCACTAAGTTTTGTAGTCATTTTCTCTGTAAAGCTACTGCAGTTAATCAATTTTGAGTTCTTTAAGTGCTGGTAGTGTTCAGCTCCTTCATCTCTCCTCCCCCAGCCCCAAAGAGGGAAGAAAAAAAGGATTCTGAAAAATTGTGTTCTGGATAGAAATCACTGCAGTCCCACTTTCTCTTTCTTCTGAAGTGCATTTCAGTACTTTTTAGAATATAAGTTTTTAGAATCATGGACCTTATTATTTGAGGGGCACATGTAATACTTTGGGAAGTGGCATTTCTGAAATTATACAGAGAACTGAATAACTGGAAGTAGGAAAATAATGGCTTGACTTTCTCAGAAGCATTTTGAAAAACATTTATGAAAAGCAGACAGTTAAAGTCATTATTTTGTAATTCTATGTTGCCCAGGTATAATTCAGATGGAGAATTTAACTGTTTTTTTTTCTTCATTATTTGATTCACTTGAATACCCAAGAACAGAAATACACATACACACACAAACACACGCACACACACACATGCATATATATTTCACCTTCTTTCTTAGCTCTTCCTACTAACGATAATGCCAGCAAGATTAAAAGAAGTGCAGAACAACTGAATGTTGTGCATTTCTTTTGCTTTATCTAAACAAGATTGCATAACTCAGTGGCTCTATGGCAAAAGATAGACATGATAGACCTAGGCAACTGTGACCAGC